TGCAGCCCCCACTTGCAGAAGAGGCGCCGCTCGGAGAAGCCGCAGCCGCTCTCGATCTGCCCGAAGAGGTGCAGCTCCGCCATGGGCTGCGGGACCCGAAACCCGCCGGATTCACCCCAAAAATCCCCCCAAAAAAATCCCAAAAAATCCCCCCCAAAACCGCCCCGTTCTCCCCTCCCGCCATCCCCGCCCGTCCCTCCCTCATCTCCACCCATCCCCTCCGTCCCCCGCCCCAAATTCCCCCCAAAAATCCCCAAAATCGCCACAATTCCCCCCAAAATTCCCCAAAATCTCCACAATTCCCCCCAAAATTCCGCCCGCGCGGCGCTCACCCGCCCCCTGCCCGCGCCGCCACTGCGCATGCGCGGGCGGCGCTGCCGCATCGCGTTGCCACGGTAACGCCGGGCCGGCGCTGATTGGTCAATGCGGGTCAGGCCACGCCCACACAGCGCGGGGTTATCACTGCGCATGCGTGTGAGGCAGAGTTTGCCGTACGGCCGCCGCCATCTTGGGCGTTACAGAGTAGGGGGACGCCATCTTGAGGGCGGCGCCGCCATCTTGTGTGTACCGCCGCCATCTTGGGGTGCCCCAAAGTGGGGGAAAAAACCAAAATTGGGGGAAAATCCAAAAATTGGGAGGAAAAACCCAAAACTGGGGGAAAAACCCAGAAACTGGAGGGGGAAACTGCAAAACTGGAGGGGAGAAACTAGAATTGGGGAAAAAAACAGAAATTTGGGAGAAAACCCAAAATTGGGGCAAAAACCCCAAAATTGGGGCAAAAACCCCAAAATTGGGAGGAAAACCCCAAAATTGGGGCAAAAACCCCAAAACTGGGGAGAAAACCCCAAAATTGGGGCGAAAACCCCAAAACTAGGGGGAAACCCAAGAACTGCGGAAAAACTCCAAAACTGGGGAGAAAACCCCAAAACTTGGGGGAAAACCCCAAAATCGGGGGGAAACCCAGGAATTGGGGGAAGAAACCAAAATATTGGGGGGGGAAACAAAAATGGGGGGAAAAGCCTCCAAAATTGGGGGGAAAAAATCAAAATTGGGAGAAAACTCAAAACTGGGGGAAGAAACCCAATATTGGGGGGGAAAAATCTAAAATTGGGGATAAATCCCCCAAAATCAGGGGGAAAAAACCCAGAAATTGGGGAGGAAATCCCCAAAACTGAGAAAAACCCAGAAATTGGGGGGAAAAACCCAAAATTGCGGGGGAAACACCAAAATTGGGGAAAACCCCCAAATTTCACGTCCCTCCCCTCAATTTTACTTTTCCCTCCAAATTTTGGGATTCCCTCTCCCAGATTTCAAGCCCCTCCCCCAAATTCCCCCCCCTCCCCCCCCCCAAATTCCTCCTTCCCCCCAAATTCCCCCCCTCCCCCCCAAATTTTTCCTTCCCCTCAAATCCCGCCCC